GCTCAGTAGGTTAACCCTCTGACTTTGGCTCAGGTCATGATCTCAGGGTCCTGGGATCGAGCCCCACATCCGGCTCTCTGCTCAGCGGGGGAGCCTGTTTCCTCCTCTCTCTCTGCCTGCCTCTCTGCCTACTTGTGATCTCTGTCAAATAAATAAATAAAAATCTTTAAAAAAAAAAAAATGATCTATGTCTATGTTCCTGAGGGTTACTGGCTTGTAGAGTTTTTGCTTTTTTTTTTTTTTTTTCCATTACAAGTGTCTTAGCTTCTGGTAACAGTGTAATCCTGACATGACACAGAATAAATTTAGGTGTTTTCTCTGTTTTCTGAAGAGCTTAAGACTAGTATTCTTTCCTGGAGTGTTTGAAAGAATTTAGAGCTCTAGCTAGCAACTTGGGGCTGGAGGTTTCTTTTTTGGAAAGATTTAAATTACAAATCCAATTTCTTTAATTGACAAAGGGCTAAATGATAAAGACTATTTTCTCTTGTGCTAGTTTTGGTCATTTGGTATTGATAAAAAGTTCATAATATTCCCATGTTGGTCTTGTACATAGCATCTGTACTAATGTCTCTTTTCTTACATACATCTTGGCAATGTGTGTCCTACCATTTTTCTTGATCAGACTAGAGACTTACCTATTTTATTAAATCTTTTTAAAAACTAGCATTGGTTCCATTGCTTTTCTCCATGTTTGCCCTTTTTGCTTTCATGGACTTCTGTTCTTATCCATTTTATTTCCTTCTACTTACTTTGGGTTTACTTTTCTTTTTCTAGCTTATGGTAAAAGCTTAGATCACGGGTTTAAACTAAACCTTTTTTGCTACAAGCATTTGAAATCCCATTAATTTCCCTCTAAGTTTTTGTGGTGCATTTCAAAAATTTTGGTATGTTATGGTTTCTATTTAGTTGAAAACATTTTAATTTCCTTATAATTTCTTCTGTGTCCCATTGTTTATTCAGAAATGTGATAGTTTTCAAGTACTGGGGGGCTTTTCTGTTTTTTTTTTTTTTTATTGCCACTTATTTCTAATTTAACTCTAATGGTTGGAAGATAAAGCTTTCAAGGTTTTGACATTTTTTGAGACCACCATGTAGTTTTTCTTAAGAGTATATATCCTACTGCTGTTGGGTATAGCCTTTTATAAATGTCAGCTCAAGCTGAATCCTAATGTTGTTCAAAACTTGAATTCCTTGTTTTTTCCTTTGGATATTCTATCAGTTACTGAGAGCAATGTTCATTTCTCCCTTGAGTTCTCTACTTTCAAACTCTGTTAATAGTTACATATAAATTTATGACTGTCATGTCTTCCTCACTGACACATACAATATGCCTCTGTATATCTGGTAATCCCCCGGTCTTGAAGTCTACTTTGTCTGAATGTCAGTAGTATTTTTTATGCTTCCCTATTTGCCAGGTGTATCCATTCTAACCCCCTTGCTTGCAACCTTTATAAAGGACCTCTCTTACAGGTAACATATATAGTTGGATTTTTAAAAGACCTTATTTTTTAGAGCAGTTTTAGGGGCACAGCAAAATTGAGCAGGCAATAGAGAGCCCCTGCATCCCCACCCTCAACACGTATGGCCTCACCTACTATCAATATCACACTCCAGAATGGTACATTTGTTACATTAACATGCCATCACTCCAAGTCCATAGTTACATTAAGATTCACTCTTTGTTGTACTTTCTATGGATTTTGACAAATGTATAATGGTATGTATCCACCGTTGTAGTATCATATGGAGCAGTCCACTGCCCTACAAATGCTCTGTGTTTCACCTATTCAACCCTCCCTCCTCTCTAACCCCTGGCAACAACCAGTGGACTTTTTACTATTGCTTTGTTTTACCCTTTCCAAAATATCAGAGAGTTGGAAAGATTGGCTTAACTTAGTAATAAGCATTTAAGCTTCCTCCTTTCCTTTCCATGGCTTGTTAACTCACTTCTTTTTAGCACCTAGTAATATTCCATTGTCTGGATATACCCCTGTTTATCCATTCACCTGAAGGACATTTTGGATGCTTCCAACTTTTGGCAATTAAGAACAAAACTACTACAAACATCCATATGTTGACTGGTGTGGACACAATTTTTCAATTCATTTGAGTAAATAACAAGGAGTGTGACTACTGGTTCATATGGTAAGATTAGGTTTAGTTTGGTAAGAAACTCCACTCTTACTTCCAAAGTGGCTGTACTATTTTGCATTCTCCCCAGCAATGAATGAGTTCCTGTTGTTCCCCATTCTTGTCAGTATTTGATGTCATCAGTGTTTGAATTTTCACTATTTTCACAAGTTATAATAGTATCTCAGTGTTTTAATTTGTTCCCTAAGGTAGAATGTTGAGTATCTTTTCATGTGTTTATTTGACATCTGCACGTCTTCTTTGGTGAGGCATCTGTTTAAATCTGTTGCCCATTTTTAAATCAGGTTGTTTACTTAAGTTTTAAGAGTTCTCTGTACATTGTAGGTAATTTGCAAATATCTTCTCTCAGTCTGTGGCTTTTTGTTGTCTTGACAGTGTCTTCCAAGAAGCCAAAGTTTTTAAACAAATTCTCAATTATTTCATGGATCATGCCTTTTGGTATTGTTATCTCAAAGGTGATTGCCAAATGCAAGGTCCTCTAGATTTATCTAGATTTAACTCCTAAATGCTATCTTCTAGGAGTCTTACAGTTTCATGTTTTACACTTAGGTCTGATCCATTTCGAGTTCATTTTTGTGAAGGGTATAGGTCTGTGTCTAGGTTTTTTTAACATGAGGCTACACAGCTGTTTCAGCACGTTAAAAAGACTCTTTGTTCCACTGTATCACCTTTGCTCCTTTGTCAAAGATCTGTTGACTATGTTTGTGTGGCTTGAATTTTACTTTTTAAGTAGCCTGCCTTTAAGCTGAAATTTTTAGTCCATTTCCTTCTAAATTTTTGATATGTAAAGATTTAAGTCAGTCACTTTACTGTTTTCTAATTGTCCCATTTTCTTCTTTCTTCGTATATTCTTCATTTCCTGTTGTTCTCTGGGTTCAATGTGTCTAAATCCTTACTGTTCTTAAGACATACTTTATCTTTTCCCCATTTTTCAGATTGGACAGATCTATAGATGTATATTCATTAATCCTTAAGTATTCAATAGCTCATACAAATGAGTTTCATTTTAGTTCTTGAGTTTACTTTTTTCTTTATGCTTTCCATTGCTGAGATTCTCTACTTGTTCAGTCTTTATGATCATTTTTCCTTTATATCCTTGAACATAAGCAGCTCTACAGTTCTATTTAATTAACTACCAAATGATGGGTCATTTTGGGGTCTATTTCTAGTAACTTTTTTCTTGGACATGGGGCATTTTCCTGTTTTGCATACCAAGTAGTTTTTTATTCTAGGATGGACATTATGGATAGGAGTCTGGATTATGTCATCTTCCTTTAAATGGTATTGTTTTATTCTTTGTTTGAACTTAGTCCAATATGGTCTATGGCTAGCTAGCCTGTTTTTGTGAGGTTTTATTGGAACACAGACACTGCCTACTTGTTTACATATTGTCTAGAGTTTTGTTTTGTTTTGGAAAGTGAGTGTGTATGCGCAAATTGGGAGAAAGGCAGAAGAAGAAAGAATCTCTTAAGCAGGCTCTAGGCCATGCAGAGCCCAACCCAGGGCTTGACCTCACAACCCTGAGATCATGACCTTAGCTGAAATCAAGAGTCAGACACTTAACTGACTGAACCACCCAGGCACACCTGTATGGCTACTTCTGCACTACAACAGCAGAACTGCAGAGTTGTGACATAGACCATACGGCTTACAAACCTAAATTCTGTGCTACCTAGCCCTTTAAGAAAGTTTGTCAACTCTGCTCTAGGATTCACACCTGCCTCCTAAGGCTTCTGTGAGGTTTCTCCACTGAGGTTCTACAGCACTGATGTATGATAAGTCTTGCAAATCCTCCTCCTGTATGTGCACGTCTTAAGTCCTCAGGTGATCTTGAAGAGACCCCATCAAATGAAAGACCCCATTTCTGCCTCTCTCCACAGCTCCCTCGTCTCTTGAAACTTCATCTACCTTCAGGATTCCAACCTCTTCAACTCAGCAGGACTGCCACTCTGCTCGGGCCCAACCTCCCTGAGATAATACTCAAAGATGTTTCCAGGCAGGATGCTGAACTGTGGAGTTTAACATTCTGTGTTTCCCTTCTCTTGATGATCACAGTCCTCTGCTGTTGTTCAGATATATTTTGTCCAGGTTTAAAGTCATTTTGGTGAGGGTAAATCTGGTACTACTTTGAAAGCTGCTTTTGCAAAACCAAAGATTCTAGAAAACAGAATATCATGCAGACTCTACTCATTGTTTAAAAAAAAAAAAAAAGATTTTGAGAGAGAAAAAAAAAGTGCATGGAGGGGCAGAGGGAGAAGCAGCCTCCCCACAAAGCAGGTAGCCCCATGTGGGATTTGATCCTAGGCCTCTGGGATCATGACCTGAGCTGAAAGGAGACTTTAAAAGACTGAGCCAACCAGCTGGCTTACTCATTGCCTTTTATTAGACATTTACTGAATAATCATTTTCAGGTTAACTATGTACAATTCTCTTAACCATTCCTCATAGTACAAAACAGATACTGTGTAAGCCATTATACCTTGGTGATGTACAATCAGGACAGTTCCTGTCTTAAAGGAGTTGTCTAGTAAACCAAGCACTATACACATCTCTTGCTCCATTTTTGAAATACATCTTTGGCAAGGTATATGGAACTAAGGGTAATTAAAAGGAGAGGACTAGATTTCTTCCACTTCCCAACCATATGTCCTTATAATGGGTAGTCGTATGGGAGAACTTGGGTAGATTTTATAGAAATCTAAATATTGTCAAATAGCAAAAGTCACCTTTTCTGGACTTATTATAAACGACTTAAAAACTACCATGCATTTAAATCTTTTTTCTTCCAAATTTAGGATCTATATTAAAGTAACAATTTTCCCATCATTAGTAATACAGTCAAGAGATTAATTCAAGAAATACTCAAAAGGAAAAAAAAATATCTACCCCATGATCTGTTGACCTTTGTGCTACCTTTTATATATTTAGTTCTATACCTTATTACGTGTATATTTACTAAAAGCAGACATTGTTTAATAAAAATAATGTCCTTTAGATCAGTAGTTTTGTTTCAGAAGTAAATCAACTGAGTTTGATTTTATCAACTTTTCCAGAGCTTTGTCGTTTTGGTCCATAGTGTTGCAGAGACTTCGCCTGTGCTTTCTCATGGCTAGACTCCCTCCAGCAAAGTTGCTTTGTACTTAGCTACCCTGAGGTCCTATCTTAAGAGAGGTTCATTCAGTGACAGCACCCAGTTGCGAAGCACATCATGAACCCTGCAGCCTACTTTCTGGCCAGACATCAAACAAGAGTGAGACATTTTAGGGAGGAAACCTTTAACCTACTTTAATCTGAACTTTTCCTGTAGTTTCATAGGGAACATCTAGAGGTGGCTTTGCCACATCTAACTTGTGTTGCCTCAAGGCTGTTATTCTGTCCCTTTAGTTGTAAACATCTAACCAGGGGACAGAGCCAGACTCTGATAACAGCCCAAGAACGTGTAGGCTCACGAGGTCTGAGGCAGGAGCAAATGTTTTATATGCTTGTTTCCTTCAACAGGACAGATCAGAGGCGGCAAACATTTTCTATAAAGGGCCAGATAGTGATTATTTCAGGCATTTCAGGACACATGGTCTCTATCAAAATCACTCATCTCTGCACCGCAGCATGAAATTAGCCAGAGCCAACATACAAACAGCATGGCTGTGTTCTAATAAACTCAATTTAGAAAAACAGGCAGCTAGTATTTGAGCCAAAGGCTAGTTTGCTGAACCCTGGTATAAATAAATCTAGGCTAGCAAAAGTTAAACTGTTTGTAGATTTATAAAATTTTCCAGACCTTGAAAAAATATTTTCCTATTTTGTAAACTGCCAACTTTACTGAGTTGTTTTCTTTCTATTGATAAGATAAAGCTATTCTTACTCACAAGTGGCCAAAGTGGTAAAGGGACAATCTCTACATGCTACCTAATTACACAGTATTTTGCATTTGGTAGCTTCAAAATGAAACTTTTCTTTTCACAGATAAACACTACAGGTGAAGACTGGCAAGAACAAACACTGATTTCTGAAGTGCCTGGAAAGGAAAAGCTCTGGTCAGTTTCACGTGGACAAGCCCAGTGTTTTCCAGAGATGCTGCTGAAGTAGTCTTCGCTACTGCTTCTCTTCACTCAGTGCTCTACATAACATGGGATGCATGAAATCAAAGCAAACTTTCCCATTTCCGACCACATTTGAGAGTGAGAAGCGACATGCAAGTGAAGAAAGCTTTATGCCTGAAGAGAGATTTCTACCGAGGATGCCCGTTCCAGTTAATGCCGACGAGGAAGTGAAGGAACCACGAGGGCCTGAAACTGTGGTCTTCGAGTTTGCACACCGCCTGTCGCAGGAAATTCTCAGTGACGCCCTGCAGCAGTGGGCGGGCAACAACATGAAGTACGACGACATCCCGTACATTGAGAGTGAGGGGCCCTGACGCCGTAGGATGCTGAGGATAACTTTCTAGAATTGTGGAGGAAGTTGGTGCTAGTTTAAATACATGAAATAATAGCAAAAACTGGTGTGAATAAATACAAATCACTCCATCGGGATGGAGGAAAAAAAAGTCCATGATAGTATCAAGAGTATACAGGAGTACCTAACATGACACGTGATAAGCACTTTTATGTTAACAGCAAATTCTTGCTGCTTGGTCTTGGGCTGGAGTCATTTTAAAGGGCTAAGGACAGGGCCCGCACCACAGTAGTCAGCTGTGTGCCGTACCACTTCCTTCCTGAGCACTAGTAGTAACACCAAAGAAATCAAATGGTTATTTTAAAGACGCTCCTTTTAAAATAACTATTTGTTAATTTACACACACAAACAAGTTATGAAAAGGATTTTTCAGATGTCTTGGCAAAGAACTTGCACTTAAGCCATGGTAAATACTAGTGGGTCATTTGTCAAAGCCATTTGTGTCAAGGATCCCTACAGTAGAAAGCACCCCCTGTAGAAGTCCACCTTGAAACCTGTCCTTAACCACCTTCAACCTCAGGTCCCTAACTAGCTGTTATTATAGAACTCAAGACTTCACACAACCTGAACAGGATACAATTTACAGAAGTCATGACAATGTTTATGGTATTGAATTAAGCAGCCCAGTGATATAACAAAACAAGAATTTTTACAAACACCAAAATATTAAAATAACGGGAGTCCTACTCAAGGTAGAAAGCAGAGCCTGTTCTCAGTGCTGCAGATATATGAAGTTTTACTGTCTCAAAGATGTAGAGAGTTGGTGTAATGGGCACTCCTTCCCATCTTTATTATTGACTAATGGGGCAATTCCCATTGAGATTACTGTGGGACCAGTCTATGCATGAGACTATACAGTTGCATTACAAAACAGAAGATCAAACACTCCTTGGAAGAGAGTACTCATGTATTTTTTTTATGGTAACGATGCCCATAAGGCATTTCCAGCCATATACTATTTTCTTAAATTTGTCTAACTTTTGGGGGAATTTTTTTCTTCCCAAGAATTAAGTACTGTTTAAAATCAATGGAACAGAAAATCTGGGAGTGGAAGAAGATACTAAGAAAACATAGCCTGCAGAAAAACTGGGACTCAGTCTCTAGAATGGTCTTTTCATCCAGATTTGTTACACACTGAGTTTAGTTGGAAAGGGAATTACTTAAGTCTGTGTGCATTAAATTCTTTTACTAAGATTCAACAGACCCTTGTCACTGACAGCTAAAGGAAGGCAGAAAAAGACTGTGACCTTTTTAATGAGATAAATATGTATTTGGCCTTGTAAGCAGGCAGAAATGCTACCTCTAATTTTAACTATCCTTTGAAACCCACAAAGAATGAATTCTCCCTGTTGTGTGGACAAAGAGAGTACTTTGAAGTGAGTCGTGTGCCATCTTTCAGTTACCAAAGGACACCTGGTCCTTCAACTTTCATTTCACCTACTCCCAGGATTTGAACTGTCCCATTGTACTTGCAATCTAGAAACTTACACAGTAGATAAACCACGACCCCTGTTAATACAAAGATCTGAAGTCCGAAAGCTAAGGAACAAAAGTTTTCTGAAAATGCAAAATATCTTTCGAGCTCGTGAAGAAAAATTTAGGTTTTTGAGTATACTAATGACTCAGACAAAAGCCTAGATGTTGCCATTTTTCATTCATTTTATATCTCACAACAGACCACTTTTGCTGCAAAGTCATTTACTATTTAAAAGATACAGTATTAGGGTGAGAACACAAAGCCATAGCCACACAAAATTTTTCAGCACACGTACGATGTAGACTGTTGAGTTTCTTATAAATATTTTAACCTCAGCTTCCTCCTGTGCCTGGGCCCCTATGTCCCAAGGGTGTAGCAGGGATGCCTGCCTGGTCCACATCTAGCAAGAATTCTCTGTTGCCACTCTGACACAATAGCAGTACGGTTTTGTCACCAAGCACCAACACCTCACTACTGACTTTTTTTTTAAAAAAGATTTTATTTATTTATTTGACAGACAGAGATCACAAGCAGGCAGAGAGGCAGGCAGAGAGAGAGAGGAGGAAGAAGGCTCCCTGCCGAGCAGAGAGCCCGATGTGGAGCTTAATCCCAGGACCCTGGGATCATGACCTGAGCTGAAGGCAGAGGCTTTAACCCACTGAGCCACCCAGGCGCCCCGTCTCCTGACTCATTTTAACAGAGTATAGATCTTGCAACATAGAATTATCTTGGAAATATATGCTCTGTTATGTCAAACTATGGATAAGGAATTAGGAGGCTTGCCTCATCAGTGAGTTAGTCAAGACAGCAAAGTGGGGGCAGGCAGGAGAAAGAACTGGGTAAACAGATTTAGTGCTGCATCCAGTAATCATCAAGACACAGTTTGGTCTTGATCACAAGAACGGATGAGAACCTCTTTGATAGAATAACTTCTTTCATACCTTCCTATCTAAATATTGGATCTACTTCATTTTGAACTTTCGTGAACAGTAAAAGAATGGAGGATCTATGTGATAAGGAAGGAACATGTAAAACAGAAGACTGAGAGAATTGTTAGCTACTGGAAAGGGAAACGCTTGTTCCGACTTAGACATCACAAACACAAATGAAAGAATAGTGGCCAAATTATAAAAGAAAGGAAACCGGGAAAATGAGGGCCCACGAAACAGCACTCACATCAGGCTCTGTCAGAAGACACACGGCAAAAACAAGGCTCCAGTGTTCTCGCCGAGGGAAGGGACACAGTAGCAAGTTCCTTTCACACTGGCATGTGCCCAACCCCTGCATCTTTTCCCTTCAGAACATCCAGGATAGGGGCAGACGAGCCCAGTGTAACCAGATACCTTGGATGGCAACTGTAAGGGCAGCAGGTGACCAGAGGAAGTGTGCCGGTCCCTCACAGAGCCCCGCAAGAGTGCTTCACTGTCCCCCTGCCCAGGTGACGGGCTCTTGTGTTGTTCCCTTTCAGCTGCCAGCTTCTGATCCCAGAGGTCTCAATTTTCAGTTCGCTTATCTGTTCTTTGCAAACTACCTGAGGTCACTAGCACTCAAAGCATAATTTAAGGGGATAAAACTGATCTTAGTTCCAGAGGAATAGTTTGTGTCAAACTGCCTTATTAGTATTAAAAACAGACGCACCGAATGAAGGAGCTAGCCTGCACTCCTATCCCACTTAATATCACCGGCATTTGATGAGAAGAGGGCACTGTACTTTTGTATTCTATGGCTGTAGAAATCAACGTTAGAGACACATGATCAATACTGTCAAGGAATAGTGAGTTAGACACAAAGTTCCAACAAATAGATATTGTTTGCTTCATCGTAACGTCCTCACCCCGTATTTGTGGGGCCCGACAGGACAGGCCTGCCTTGGAGCAGTGGGCGCAAGCTCAGGTGTACTCCCTCTATATTACTTTGCAAAACTCAAGTTTTGTTAATTCTCCTCCCTGTAAGACTTAGCTATGCAATGGTATTTTTCCGAATATTTTTGTGAAAGCATTTTTTTCTAACCATACAATAAAAGTCTAGTTGCCATGAACTAGCTGAGTTCTGATTAAAGCAAATGCCTTTCAATATTGTGTACTGTCAAATTTTTCGATATAAAGAGCTTAACATTTTCTGCATTTCTAATGAACACGAAGTGAATAAAACTCCACTGACAGAAATAATTTCTTGGATCAATCCGGTCCAACTTAAGAGCTTTAAGAATATTAATGTAAACATGTCCACTACCATGCCATCTGTACTCTAAATCTGTTTGTGACTTTTGGCGGGGGTGGGGGGATGCTTCATGTTAAATATTTAGAAAATTTAAAGCAACTCCCAGATTGCAGTTCCCTCACCTATAAGAAGGGTGCAGGATATGACCTCTGATGTCTTTTTCAGTTCTGCCACTTTCTGTTCTTAAAAACCAGAAGTTCTCTTAGTTTCTGAGTGGTTTGGGATGAAGGGAAAACTCTAAGTCACAAAAAAATGATAAACCGACCTTTAAAGATTATTCTTACCCTGACTTTAATGTCCCAAGTCTGGAACACCCTGCAGTTTCTTGTGTACCTTAAGAAAAACTTATTTTGTCACAGTTGTGGAATGTATTTCTATTCTGAACAAAAAGTCCTTTTTTTTTTCCCTCCTGATTTATACTATGTAACAGCAAATAACTTACCACGCCCAAGTTTAATGTAAATTGTAAAAAGCAATGTTCTCTATTTTAGAGATTGGAGTTTCCTAATTCCTCATTCTTTCAGACTAACAAATCCAACAAAACAACCCATCACTTTCACCATAGGGAAGGACTCTTGGTTAACTTGAGGGAAGACAAAAGCTGACAATAATACCAGAGACAACCTCATAAAAACCTTTTTGCTTTGCCAGAGATTTCTAATATTATAAAAGGAACACTTCTATAATAACATAGTTACTTTAAAATAGGTTTATATATCCAGAAAATTCTCTGAAGCATTAACAAAATAGCCAAAAAATTTCAGGGTTGTTTTTTTAATAATTATACATATGTTTATTTAATCAACATAAGAACTACTACCCAAAACCAAAACATAAGGTTCTCATTTCAATTAAATATTAAGACCTTCTAATTTTCCCATTTTTATAAAACGGGCTGGCAAACATTTTCTGAAAAGGATCAGATAGTATTTCAGGCTTTGCAGGCCTTAAGGTGTCTGTTGCACTACTCAAAGCAGCCGCAGACAACAGGTTAACAGCCCAGTGAGGGACACGCCAGTCAATATTTACTTATGAGCACAGATATGAAATTGCACATAACTTTCACATGTCATGACATATGAGTAGTTGATTTTTTTTTCCTCAGCCATTTAAAAATGCAGAAAACATTCTTAGCTTGTGGAAAACTCAGCAACAGGCAGCAGGCCAGATCTGGCCCATGTACTATAGTTTGCCAACATGTGCTCCAAAATAATACCTTAAAAATCTAGTCACCTTAGAATTTCAAATCGTTACTTCCCAGAGACTTAAAGTAATTATTCAAATCTTCATCAGTAACTTCTTTTAGATCAGCTGGTCTCCACTTTGGACTCTGGTCTTTATCTATTAAAACTGTCAAGTGAAGACATAAAAAATGTTAGTATGTTTCCTTCCGGTATTACCAGATTTTAATTACTAAATTGACAGAAACTACCTTACACAAGACATATTTTCTCTAGCACATTTTTTTCTGCAAAGTTAAAATTTTTGCATGTGTTCCATTTTTCTTTTAAATTAAGGCTCCATAGGATTTGGATGGACAGTAACGTACTGATGATGACTCACGCGGTCACTTCCCACTCCACTAAGTCTGATGCCTGCAGCTTGAACACAGCCTATGAACTAATGTGGCTCAAGCCTTAGTCCTCTTCAAACAAAATTGTAAATGAAATCTTGCTGTTATAAAGCAGCTAAAACCTGAGTTGGTGTGGTTTAAAGGGAAGGCAGGGGAGGGTGGAGGGCCCAGATCTGCCTTCTAAACTCCTCCGCGTTGAATTGAAAGGAAAATTACTTGAAGTAGAGGGAAGGGGGTGACTTTATGCATAATTCAATGTGGATACTGCTGTTCTGCTGAATCCTCTAGTTCACACAGCTCTGAATTAAAATAGCAGACTGTCTTCAGGTTATCCTAAGAAACTACTTCTCTTATTTCGGTGTAGTCATCATTTACTGTGGCCACATAGCATCCCCATGGGATCATAAGGATGAGGCAACTGGCAAACCTGTCCTTTAAAAAGGGAAGGGGTTGTCCGTTTCCTGGTTGTGAGAGAATACTACTGTATTACAGTCATTACTGCTTGGGAAAACTTGGTGACAGGTACACAGGATCCTTCTATATTATTTCGTACAAAAAAAATAGTGGGGGGGACTACACTTAGTATGGTTGTGGTAGAGAATTTTAACCATGCTTAAAATGTGCATAATTCTTGGGGATACCAGAGGTTTTTGGTTGTTTTTAAGATTTATTTATTTTAGAGAGTGAGCAAACGAGGGGGAGGAGGGACCAAGGGAGAGGAAGAGGGACTCCGGAGCAGAGCACGCTGAGGGCGGAGGCTGAAGCAGGCTCCATCTCCCGACCCCGAGACCTGACCTGGCGCAAACCAACACTTGGATGCTTCTAACGCCTGCGCCGCTCCAGTGTCCCACACAGGAGGGTTTCGAGTCGGGGCTGCCTAGCTACAGGTCTCTAGCTGTACCAGATCAATGGTAACACGGATGTTATGATCCCTGCCAATCTGACAGTTTTACATTCCCCAAACAGCATTAAGTAAAAACAATTCTGGAACATTCCTTTCTTCAAGAATCTCTTCCCTTAAGGCCCTCTGGCCAAAGCTATCATGGTACCTACCTCTCTGACAGTCTGCTGAAGGGCAAAAGGAAAGAATATTAATAAAATCTGTATGTCGTTCCACACAGACGGAATTTTTTTTTACTCAGCACAGATATAACAAGTTCCTGCCATGTAGACAGCTCGGGTTCTTTCAAGTCTCACGAGGCACCCACTCAAATTCCTTTTGGTAACTCAATAGTTCTGCTGAAATCTGTATTTACTTTCTTCTATAACCAGGAAGAAGCTTATTCTAGCTGTTAAGAGTAAGAATTTTTGACAACCATTCCCCTGAATTTGCTAGTTTATTTTATCTAATTTGCTAACATATTTTATAATTAGCAAACTGTAGCCAACATTCGGTTACTATGCACGCACAGCAAACAGGCTGACCCAGATAGATGCTGCTTGCAAAACAGGGAGGCTGTGCTGAGAGACGAGGCGGTGTACTCTCTCTTCATTCGAGGCGGTGTACTCTCTCTTCATTACAAAGTAGCTTGATAAGCTCCTGCGTTATGAATCATAGCTTTGGTGCTGCTCGGTTTCAACTGTTTCCGTCAAATAACTGACAGTGTGCATGAGAACCATACCTTTGATTTTCAAGTTTAAGAGGGCTGCTATCACATAAAATGAATGCATTAAAACCCAAGGGGCACACAGGTCCTCCTCATATCAAAGGTCCAGCCTCTGATCCACACGCAGCAAGAATTTGCAGGGAATTAGTGGGAAAATGCACATTTTACTTGTTTTTATAAAACATACAGCCATTTCCTCTGACTCAACTCCGAGTCCTCTAAAAGGATTTGAGCCTCTGCTTATTTCTGGCGTTGGGCTGTAAGTTCAGAGAAAGGATATACAGAGTCTCTACTATATTAAAGCCATCCGTAAAAATATTAAAAAATCAGATATGCAAAATACATGCAAGGGGAAACTCGCTCACGCAACATAAACGGCAGCTGTTACTTATGGGGATACGGCCTTATACGTACACTGTTCACAGACTTGCTGCGAACAAAAGATAAACCATTTCACTTTCTCTAAATATGCTAACTTTGGAGATGATAAAAACAAATTACTAAGAACATTAGCAGATGTTACTAATTATGTCATTTTTTTTTTTCAATGTCAGTGTTTAACTCTCAGGTACAGGCGAAGAGCTAACAGTAGGGAGTGGCCAGGCCAGGACTAGAGAGAGGAGGGGGAGGGGACCTGAGGCTTCTTACAAGGGAATAAAAGCAGTTTTCCAAGGCTCCAGCAGTAGAATGAGTTTTCAGACCCGGCTGTACTTAGCAGAGGCAGTTCATGTGACTGGAGATGCAGGATTACCTCTTACATACAAATGAGGGAGTGGTGACACAGGTTATGTGAATTTTCCAAACAATACTGATTTCAAAGACTGATATTCCCTTATGCGCCAGCTGGTAATAAGAAAGGAACAACTTTGCAATCTTTACGAAAGTGGAATTTTCACTAATAAAACAACTATTATCTTTGATTCACAGTATATGCTCACAAATCCTATTTCCATAATAGCCAGGAAGAAAACAATCATCACTTACCTGCCCTAACACCTTCATAAAAGTCATGGCCTCCCTGAAAGAAAATTGAGATTAAATGGTGAATCTCCAGGCATCCTTATTCCCAGTGCTGATCTGTCTTCTCCACTCCCATGGCCACAGCCTGAAATCAACAAAGACTGGACCGCCTGTATGACCCACTCTCTTGATCACCGCCTCCGATCCTGGTCTGCTCAAGCCCTACTACTTTTCACCACTTTACTGTGGTCACTTTCCCCTGAAAATGCCCTCATCTCCTTCAAGGCTTTTTCTCCCCTTGAGTCTGTCCTGGCAAAATCCCAGCACCACCTGCCCCTACCATTTGCATCTGCCTGCTTTCAAGGGGCTAAATCTTGGTGCAGAAAAATCTGTGATTGGTTTCATTTAAAATTCATGACCACAAATCTCAAACAGGCATGGAAAACTGCCCAATGGTCCATGTTCTCCTCAATTCCCAAGATAATGATTTCAACTGTCTTCTGCCTTCTCAACCTCTAGCCCTGGCAAATTTTTCTCTCACTGTATTAGCTAATGACTTAACTTCCTACTTCATTACAAAAAGAGAAGTGCTAAGCCATGAGCTTTTGCAGCTTCCCACTCCTGAACTACCTGCAGCCCAACTACACCCATCTGTACCATGCCTTCTCTTTCCTGACTACAGAGAAAGCTCTTTCAAAGGCCTGTTCTCCTCCCCTCCCCCACCATTCCTACTCATATCTCTCTTCTCAAGGACTGTGCTTGAGAAGGTCATCTATCTCTATTTTTACCCCTGGCATCATCAGTGTAGGCAGCAAAACTCAGTGACTGACTGCTGTTCAAATATCTGGGATCAGACGAATGGATAAAGATGACGTGGTAGGTATAAACAATGGAATACTACTCGGCCATCAAAAAAGAAATTTTCCCATTTGCAATGACGTGGATGGAACTAGAGGGAATTACGCTAAGCAAAATAAGTCAGTCAGAGAAAGACAATTATCATACGATCTCACTGATGTGTGGAATTTAAGAAACAAAAGAGGGATCATAGGGGAAGAGAGGGAATAATAAAACAAGATGAAACCAGAGAGGGAGACAAATCCTAAGACTCCTAATTGCAGGAAACAAACTGAGGGTTGCTGGAGGGGTGAGGGATGGGGAGTGGGGGGATGGGGGGATGGGGTAACTGGGTGATGGACATTAAGGAGGGCACATGATGGAACAAGCGCTGGGTATTATTTAATACTGATGAATCACAGACCTGAACCTCTGAAACCACTGATATATTATATGTTAATTAAAAAAAAACAGCAACAAATGTCTGGGCTCACCCGCTGCCTCTACTACACAGGAACGACGTGACCTTGGGCTAGTTAACTTCTCTAATGCCAAGTTTCCTTATATGGAATGGCAATACCACACCGTCCATGGGAGGGTTATCTTACTGCATATCCCAGCACAGTGCCTGACATACAGTAAGTGCTCAGTAAATGTTAACTACTATCGGTATCAGCATCATCTTTTGTCTCTACTGGGTCATTCCCTATCACTTATAAACATGTTCCAGCATCTTCCACCTCATAAAATAACAAGGAACCTCACTTGATTCCACAGTCCCAGCTTCTACCCCATTTGTTTCGAGAAGAGAAAGTCACATACGTAGAGCCTCCGCTGGTCCACATCCCATTTACTCATTTCCTCTCCAACTTGCCACACTAACTTCTGCCCCAGTGCTCCTCCGACACGGCGTGCCAAAATCCCCCGTGACTCCAGTGTTGCTGTATGTTAAAGATGTCTTCATCCTACCCTACTGGGCACTTCGGTAATACTCCCTTCTCCTTGACACACTCACTTCTTGCTTTTGCGACCCCACACTCTCCTGGTTCTCCCACCTGTGTCCTTTATCTCTTTCACTGCTTTTTTCTCTAATCCACTCAAAGTGCTGCATTTCCTGGGGCTCAGATCTACCTCTATCATTCTCGCTCTGCATGACCTTATCCATGCTGTACCTGACACATCAGCATCTGACTTACCAGTTCTGTTACATATGAGATGTCGCTTCTCTACTCAAAAGCATCCAGTGGCTTCCCATTACTCAGAACAAACGCCAAGTTATATGTGCTCTGGTTCCAGGTTACATGTGCTCTGTGCAGCCCTGCTCTACCCTGTTGACGCTGACCTCATCTCTCTCACTCATCGACCCCCTTCTCCGCGCGCTCCGTCCAGCTTCCTGCGGCTCCCGGATAGGCAGGTGCACCCCTGCCTCAGCTCTGTACCTGCCTCTGCCTGGATGCTTCTCCCCAGACCCTTGCACAGCTCCTTCCCTCACTTCCTTCAGGTTTTCACTCAAACAACATCTTCTTAGTCAGGTCTTCTCCGGTAAATCCCATCTGTAAGTTCAACCACACATGCCCCCCACCCCACCCGCTTTATGTCATATCCTCCTTCGCACTTTACTTTCACTCCTAGGTACTTACAGCCATAGACTGTGTACTTCACAGCCTTCCCTGTTTACGATCTTTCTCCCCCACTAGACAGTTCCATGAGGGGCGGAGATTTTGTCTATCTGGTTTACCTACGCATTCTTGGTACCTCTACCAGTGCCTAGCACATGGTAAGCTTTTTTATTTATTAAGTAAATAAATCTCCAAAGTTCTTTTTTAAGATTTTCTTTATTCAGAGAGAGAGAGAGTGCGCACGCATGGACTGGAGAATCTCAAGCCGACTCCCCGCTGAGCACGGAGCCTGACACAGAGACTTGGGGCTCGATCTCATGACCCATGATGACCTGAGCCGAAATCAAGAGTCGGATGCTTAACCGAATGAGACACCCAGGCGGCCCCTCCAAAGTTTCTCTTTTAAAAAAGTGGTTCTAATGTCTTTCAGACTTAAATCTCTCACCCACACCTCCTCCAAACTCCAACTCCTAAAGGCACTCTTTCCTTCCCTCACACTCATCAGGACCTATCAGTTCGTCTCTTACACTGGTCCTCAAAACCATTCACTCCTCTCCAGTGCTACCACCTTCGTCTAAGCCACTACTACTCTGCAACTGGATTACTGCAGTCAACTCGCATCTGGTCTCTCCATTCACTCTTGAACCCTTCCAAACCCATCTCCACCCAGCAGCAGTAACTACCTTCTTAGAGCAGATGCAACCAAATCATCCACTGCTGTAACCCAAGAGACTTCTCAACACACTTGTTTTTTACACGCTAGGTCACAGATGAGTGGACAACTCCAAGATGTCTTCCCTTTTTCTCTCCCACTCCCTCCTGCCCCTGCATCATTCTCTTCTATCATCAACCTGTATGTTTCCTTTGGAGCACTGACCACAATTTGTAATTATTTTACTTATTTTGTTTCCTTGTTCTTCATAGTCTCAGTAGACTATAAATTCCATAAGAACAAGGACTAGTCATTCTTTCTACAACGTAACACCTAGCACTGTGCCCGGCAACACAGCCAGCATACTTGCTGAAGGAAGGAACTGATCAGTCCAGGCAGGGCAGTGAATGTATGGTGGAAAACATGGACTGTGGGGTTCACTGGGCAGTGGTCAGGAGAGCAGGCCCCAGAGGGAGCCCACGCACTTTCACATACATGTGTCTGCCGCTTAAGAGCCATACCACTTAGGCACGTTACCTCTCTGTGCCAGTTTCCTCATCTGTAAAGTGGAGACAAGAACAGCTCCTATCATTCTAGAAATAGTGTCAAATGCAATGGAGAGGATACCTATGAAGCGCCTGTCCCGGTACTTCTCTTAACAGCAGACTTCAGCGGCTACTTACATCTTACTAGAAGTGTGACTTCAAGATTAAAGTGACTAATAGAGTTTTATTTATAGTTAAATGAACTACTTTGAATACCTTAATAACTATTTCAAGATATGAAAATCCATTAGGGAGACCTACTTTCTAGTTATTAAACAAAGTATTTCCTTTAGGCCATAAATTAATCTAAGGGCCCTCTACATATAGCCCAAAACCAATGATTCTGCTTTCAAAGAGTTTATCATCTAGAAGAAGTGTCTATGACTCTGAAATTTCTCATTAAATTAATATTCTATGTCATTGGTCTATTTCAAGTGTATTTACAATGTTATTTTCAATGTTTAATCTATTAATTAAGACACGGAACAAACTAGTAACACCCATTCCTACATTTTACATAGACATACACTCCTCATTTTACCAGTGAGGGGATTCGGATTTACAGAGTTCATGCTTCTTGCCCAAAGATCAGAGAGCAGGCCTGAAAAATGGTTTATTTCTATTTTGAACCCCACCTGAGATCAGAGGCTTTCTTACACTTAACACACAAATGTAACCGTTGTTTCCTAAGAGCTCAACTCAAGAACAGTGCCAGTGTGACAGTCCCGCGCCCCTTAAACTAGCTGGTCTGTTGTGCTTCCACAGAGCAGATTAACAAGTAGTTTTAAGGGTTTTGTTTATAGTTTTCTGTATTTTACATGCTCTACAATGAACATCTATTACTTTCATAAATAGAAAATAAATATATATATATTTTTAAATTCTTACCATACAAGCTTGACTCAGCCGATATTCCATAGTAAATACTTCTTGCAAGGTCTTTGAAGAGCCCTCGATGAGCTGCCTTAGTGTGATCTTTAGGGATGTCGGGGACATTTTATTAATTATCTGTGGGAGAAAATTTTTTTTACTAGTTTTAGCCCAAGTGTTCCTTTATTACCTATAACAAATTAGCTGAGTTTTGATATCTTATTAAAATTTGCTCCTTAAACAGTACTTTCACCTGATAGTTTCATAAAAGTGAGATTATGCCATAACCTCATCCTGTCAAAGCACCAATGGTTTTCTAATCTCCTGTAATAACGAAACAAATCATTCCACCAGTGGGATAAATGCTATACCCATAAATTAACAAAAGAAATCCATATTTTTGTAGCTGCCTGCCATAAATTATGATCCCAACGAGGTAAGCAAACAGTAATTATGCTGAAGTAAAATTAATATACATCTTACAAACAACTAAGATATCAGAGAACATTTTACTTTATAATATAAAAAAGGTACAGTAGAAATATAGCTCTTTCCTTCCCATTTTACGACTATAGAGAAGTGTTTGAACTGAACTACACTCTTTATCTAAAAATAAATCTGCTTACCTTAAAAGTAAGAAGAGAAAACAAGACACCACGAGGTGGTCTTCTATAGTATTTAAATACTTAATAAAGGAAGAGTAACAGGCCGGACTCCTTGGCCACAGTGCCATGCACCCCTTCCTTCTGAATTTAAAGATGGTGTTACTAGTGTTCTGACGCATGTGTGTGACTGTGACCAGCAGCTGCTGCATATGCTACGTAAGTCTGCTGTGTAGATCTATCATGGGCTATGTAAAGCTGATGCTTGCCCTGGTCTTCATAACTGCAATACAGCTTTCAGGCCTATTGTTGAGTGATTGTCTCAAAGGCAGAAATTTCAGTTCCTGAGTTCAAAGAATTCCCCCCATCAAGATTCCAGGTTCTCTGCAGCATCCTCAAGTGTGGCATGCAGATTCAGAGAACACGCCGAACGGACAGGGCAGGATCTGACCTAACAGCTGCTGGAACTTACACAGATGACTACTGTACAGGAAAAGTTCAGGGAAGCCAGTCTCCTACCTACAGTCACAATGCTGAAGAAAAGATGAGAAAGAGAGAAAAGAAACTAAGCCTTTTCATGCATCTGATTCATCTTCATCAGAACTCACCCTTCTGCCCCCAGCACTGCATGCACATGATCTCACTTAATGCCCCCGAAGCACTCCCACTCCACGGTCTCCCCTTTCTGGTTACAGACCACGAGGATGATGGCGCCTGCACAGCAGTCTGCATACTGTGCTAGGAGGCCCCTCCTTTTCACAGGCAAGTAGACAAGGGGTCCATTTTGCTGACAAAACTGCTGGTTTTCTCTAGCAAGAGCAATGACACAGGTGAACCACATGACCCAGGTGACCATCTGGAAGAGCTTCACTCACGGTGTTGAAAGCGGTACTTAAGGAGTGACATAACCACGTTCGATCTTTTCTAGTCTACAAAGTCAATGAAGCTATAGTTCCCTTTCCAAAAGGCTGTAGTATATAAGCCCACAATCACGTACCTCAGCACTACCATTATGACTAACTGCACTCTATATACAATCTAGAATTCTCAAAACACAAACTCTCTTTGCCATACTTCCTCAGTTGGCTACCAATTACTCTCATTAAAAAGGCCACTTAACAGGAAAACCATCCCATCTACAACTGCACCAGAGATAATAGTATACTTAGGAATAAACTTAACCAAGGCGGTGAAAGACCTGTATGCTGAAAGCTATAAAACACTGATGAAAGAAACTGAAGATGACACAAACGACAGAAAGATATTCCACGCTCATGGATTAGAAAAACCAGTATTGTTAAAATGTTCATACTACACAAAGCAAGCTACAGATTTAATGCAATCCCTATCAAAATACCAGCAGCATTTTCCAAAGAACTAGAATAATGTTAAAATCCATATGGACCCCAAAAAGACCCCAAACAGCCAAAGCAATCTTGAGAAAAAAGAATAAAGCTGCAAGTATTACAATCCCAGATTTCAAGATAATACTACAAAGCTGTAGTAATACTATAAAACAGTATGGCAATGGAATGGAAAGAGACCTCAGAAATAAACCCACACTTATATGGACGATTAACCTATAAGAAATGAGGCAGGATATATATACAACGGGGAAAAGATAGGCTCATTAATAGATGGTGCAGGGAAAACTGGACAGCTTCACGCAAAAGAAAGAAACTGGACCACTTTCATATAGCATATTAAAAATAAGCTCAAAATGGATCAAAGACCTCAATGTGATACCTGAAACCACAAAACCCCTAAAAGAAAACATAGGTAGTAATTCTGACACTGCCAGTAGAAATATTTTCCTATATATGTCTCCTAAGGCAAGGGAAACATAGCAAAAATAAATTAGAGGGACTACACCAAAATAAAAAGCTTTTACACAGTGATGGAGACCATCAACAAAATGACAAGGCAACCTACTGAATGGGGGAAGATATCCACAAATGATACATCCAATAAGGGATTAATATCTAAAATATATAAAGAACTTCTACAACTCAACACAGACAATCCAATTAAAAAACAGGCAAAAAACATGAACATTTTTCCAAAGAGGACATAAACATAGCCAACAAACACATGAAAAGATATTCAACATCACTGATCAGCAGTGAAATACAAATCAAAACCACCATGAGATACAGTATACACTTGTCAAATGGCCAGTATCAAAAAGATAAGGAACAAGCGTTGGTGAGGATATGGAGAAGAAGGAACCCTCATGCACTGCTGGTAGGAATGCAAACTAGTGCAGCCACTGCGGAAAACATTATGGAGGTACCTCGAAAAAATTAAAAAGAGAATGACCATGTGATCCAGTAATTCCACTACTAGGTACTTACCCAAAGAAAACAAAAACACTAATATGAAAAGATCCACACACCCCTATGTTTATTGCAACATTATTTACAGTAGCCAGAATACAAGAAGGAACCCAAGTGTGAATGAATAAAGAAGATGTGGTATGTATATACAATGGCGTATTACCCAGTCATAATAAAGAATGAGATCTTGATTTCTGCAACAACATGAATGGACCTCATGCATATAATGCTAGTGAAATAAGTCTGAGAAAAAGAAATACCATATGACTTCATTCATGTGGTATTTAAGAAACAAAACAAATAAATAAAGAAAAAAAACCAGACTTAAATACAGAGAACTGGTGGTTATCGGGGGGCAGGGGTGAGTGGAAGAATTGATGAGACAGACAGGAAAAAATGGCCACAAAGTAAGGGCTCCAGGTGTTTGTGCTGTGTCATGCATACATAAATACACTAGGAAAAAAAGGGAAGAAAATTTCAATTGAAAAGCTTCACTGGTTAAGACATTTAATGAATTAGTAATTAAAGAGATTTCCTGTTAACAGACACCATGTTAGAAAATAGTGCATTGACAACCCAAGGAAAACTAGTTTCCAACAATTCTTAGTATACTGGCAATCTGGCACAGAGACTCAGGGTTTGAACTCTAGAGTCCACAACTCAGTGGTAGAATTCCAGCCCCACCACCTTCTACGTGATTGATCTTAGTTTCTTCACTTCTCAGATGGAGACTGTAATACTGTCCATCTCAAAAATGGATAGTGCAAGGAGTCAGAAACCAAGCCAAACAGGGAAGGGAAGGGAAGGGATGGAATATGTACTGAGCACACTTCCCTTAGCTCACATGTGCACACACTGTACAAACACGGAAACCAGCCCGGTAAGAATTTATCCAAGGTCACTCAGAGAGGAGTCCAAACCCCAGCCTGACAATCCCAAAGCCTACTTCACTCTACACACAAGGTTATAGAGGTAATCAATGCCAAAAGCTGATGAAAAGTCAAGAAGAACAAAGATGGAGAAGACATCATGTCAAGTGATAGAAGTTAATAAAAACTTACTTGTGTAGTTTTGGTGGAAAGCGGTGGGGGGGGAGACAAAGTCAGGATGGTAGCTTGAGGAAAAACTGTTAAGAGAAGGCTTTTTCTTTTCCTTTTTAAGATTCTATTTATTTGACAGAGAGAGAGATATTACAAGTAGGCAGAGAGACAGTCAGAGAGAGGGGGAAGCAGGCTCCCTGCTGAGCAGATGTGGGGCTCAATCCCAGAACCCTGGGATCATGAACCGAGCCGAAGGCAGAGACTTAATCCACTGAGCCACTCAGGCGCCCCAAGAGAAGGCTTTTTCTAAGAGCAGGAAAGCTTTTGAAAATAAGGGCAGTAGGAAATGTGCATTCACCCAAGAAGGTAAAATTTTACAGATAACTGAAAGAGAAGACTGATGGCCAAGTAGCTCCTCAATGAGGCAGGAAAGGATGGAATGAAAGCACAGATGGGGATGTTTCCCTCAGCAAAAAGTGAGACACAGGTCAGAGGAATCGAAAGGATGATGCAAGAGGGTTAAAGGAGCTCATGTAATAGAGCCTCATTCATTACAAAGGGAACACGGAGACTATTCCAGAAAACTGGACAAATGACGAGGACTTGGATCTTCAGCTATGTCAGAAACGTGTATGGATACAATCATGTAACCACACAACCTGGTGAACATAATTCTCCTTCTTGGTAAAACACTGGTTAGTGTCGTAGCTAAATTATCCGGCCCTTTAAAAATAAGCTGTCCTATGTATGCCAAAGAGCCAACTTCTTTTTTCCTATATTTTTATCAAATAATTCACATTCTCCTCTCAATTCAGTATTAGTGAGCATCTACTATGCATCAGACACTTCAGAGGAGACAACAGTGAACAGGACATGGTTGCACTCAGAGCGTTATCAGCATTATAGTCACTGCTTTTTTGGTAAGAATCCTAGGAACTCTTCTTAAGTTTTACCAAATCTTAGGGATTTCCAACAAAAGAAAAACTCAGGATACCCCCTCTATCTCTCCCCTCAGCATCTACCAGAACACTCAGTAACATACAGTTTGATAGGCTTTATCCAACAAGCCTATACTGATACAATTAAAAGAACAATATTTTCAACAACCCTTTAATGATATAATTAGAAAAATTATACCAAGTTGGCCTCAGGCTTCTTTG